GCGCCTTGGTGTTTAGTCATGCCGGCCACATGACCACGGAGACGTCTTCGGACAGCTCTGGCTCCTCAGCTTTGAAACGGAGATGAGCACCACAACCCTAGAGTCGGACTCGACTGGCTTTCGAGCAAGGGAACCTTTACCTTTTTAATGTCCCCTTCACGGAGCTGCGGTGGCTCAACTGGTTAAGACCAATGCTCCCTCTAAACTATGGAGTCTCGTGAGCAAAAATTCTACTTTGTGAGCTCCTGGCATTAAAGTTGTGAGTGAGCGATTTGGCTGCTGCATAAATTAGTTTGCGCTGGAGCCGTCCTTCCTGAGCTAAGACAAATATCTGTGAGCTGGAGGCTAAAGAACTGTGAGCTAGCTCACACTAACTCAGCTTATAGGGAACACTGGTTAAGATGCTGAGCTGCGGATCAGAAGGTCTGTCATTCGCCAGTTTGAGACCCTAGCGCCGCATGACTGAGTGAGCTCCCGTCTCTGGCCCCAGCTCCTGCCAACCCAGCAGTTCGAAAGCAAGAAATTGCAAGTAGATAAATAGATACCGCTTTGGTGGGAAGGTATCAGCGTTCCGTGCACCTTGGCGAGCACGGAAACATCTTCAGACAGCGCTGGCTCTTCGGCTTGGACATGGAGATGAGCACCGCAACCCTAGAGTCGGATTCGACTGACTTTCGAGCAAGGGGAACCTTTACCGAATGTCCCCTTGAAGAACAAAAAATTCTTCTTTGAAGACTCCAAGGTGAGCTCAGAAGCCGAAGGGAGGGACGAGAGTCTTACTTCTGGCTGCACACAAATACCCTAGCAGAAGGAATAATTGTCAGATAAATAAAAATATAGGTACGAGTCGACAGGCTTGTTTGCCATAACTGGTTCTGCTGCAGTAATGTAACAAGGGCACGCTGCTCTCCCAGGCATGTTTTACATCAGGGGTCTCAAACATAAGGCTCAGGGCTCTTTCCCGGCCCACAAGCAAATGGTATGGATGGAAATGTAAGGTACTCCCACTTTTATGGTATCCCTTGGGGGGGGGGGGAAACAGAGTCTTGTGATTAAATACGTTTATTGGGGCTTTTGTGGGTTCCCCAGTAAATCAATGGCTTTCACTGCTAGTGAGCTATTGCTTTTGTTTGTATTTTGAGTTAAAAATAATATTGTTCTCTGGGTTTGCCTGTGTCCTTTACAAAGTTTATATCTCCGGCACCTGGCATTACATTTTATGGCACATGTGGCTCGGCCCGACAAAGTGACATTTGTGTCAGAGCCGACCCTCGTAACAAATGAGTCCGACACCCCTGCTTTGCCTCTTCAAACCTCAAGAAAGGGATTCACTATTAGCTTGTCAACTTCATTTTAGTAGACAAACATCAAGGAAAGAAGTTTTCTTCTCTGTGCTTCCCAGCGCCAAGGCACAGAGCTGTTTCCTCTTATTCTGCTGCTTCAGACCAACACGGCGACCCCCCTGAATCTTTCTCACAGGCAGACACCAGGGGGCAGCACCACTCACCAGAATAAACCAGCGCGGATTGTGCTATCTAAATGGGCGGACTTTGAGATGGTTGGGTTTGCTTCAGTTGACTCCAGATAACCTGAGTTGTAAAATTTATGAGCGGTACAGTGGGTAGAGGATCAGTGGAGGATCAGGGAGACCTGGGTTCGAAACCCTGCTCATCCGTGAAGCTGGCTGGATAACCTGGGGCCAGTCTTGCTTTCTCTGCTTAGCTCACCTCGCAGGGTGGTTGTGAGCATAAAACGGAGGAGGGAAAATATTGCGCCCTGTACAGAGGTCTTCAGGGGAAGGGCAGGGTATAAGTGTAATAAAATCAGGTTTCTCTCCTTCCCCCATCTGTGTGTGGGTACGTCTGTTTCCCCCTCTAGTTAGTAACAATACTTACATTTGCATAGGCCACGGGTCCCCCAGCATGGGGTTTTTTGTGTGTGTCCACCAAGTGTTTTTAAGGGGTGGGTGGGGCCAGGCAGGGCTTTTGCCCAGTAAGGCTTCTGATTGGCTATTGGAGATTTGATTGGGTGTGCAGGTTTTTAAAAAATGTTGATTTGGCAGCAGCTGTCACCTCAGCACAAGGATCTTCACTGCGTGACTGAAGTTAAGATGTGGCAATTATTTTACGACTGGCTCTGCCTCCTGTGGCAGCCATTATGTGCCTGCCATAGATGAAGAAGAGGAGGAGGAGGAGATGGGATTTACACCCCGCCCCTCACTCAGAGTCTCAGAGCGGCTTACAAACTTCTTTCCCCTTCCCCTCCCCACAACAGACACCCTGTGAGGTAGGTGGGGCTGAGAGAACTTTGACAGAAACTGCTCTTGAGAGAACAGCTCTGAGAGAACTTGTGACTGACCCAAGGTCACTCCAGCAGCTGCATGTGGAGGAGTGGGGAATCGAACCCGGTTCTCCCAGATTAGAGTCCGTGCTCCTAACCACTACACCAAACTGGCTCTCTTAACAAGGCTGTGAATGATCGGGCATTCAGAAGGACATTAATTCAGAGGGTCACCGGTTCTCCCAGATTACAGTCCGTGCACTTAACCCCTACACCAAGCTGGCTCTCAATGTGCTGAGTAATCTGAGTCATGAGGCCTTTGAAAGGGCTGAGTAATCTTGAGAATAGCCCTGTAAGGTAGGCCAGTAACTTTAGTCCTCTATTGCAATTCTCCCTCTAAACTCTGGAGTCTTGTGAGCAAAAATTCTACCTTGTGAGCTACCGGCATTAAACGTGTGAGCGAGCGATTTGGCTGCTGCATCAATCAGTTTGCTCTGGAGCCCTGCTTCCTGAGCGAAGGCAGAAATGTGTGAGCCGGAGGCTAGAAAACTGTGAGCTAACTCACATTAACTCAGCTTAGAGGGAACACTGCATTTTGGGGGGTACTAAAGGCTGCCTTGTGGCTGAGATGAAAGTGGAACTGGCAACCTCCCCAGTCACGGCACCCAGTGTTCCCTGTGTAGAGTGGTTTCTCACTTGACAGTGAAGAAATCTGGGTCTCACCACAGAGATGTCCAGGGGACAGTGACATCACACGGTTCATACAGCCAAGGTGCCGGTGGCGAAGGATGGCTTTTGGTTTTACCAGAAATTCATGCGATGCTTGACTTTAGTGTCTTTTTAAAAAAACATATTCCAGAGAATTAAGAGAGATCTTGGGGCACTTTAAAGGCTAAACATCTTATCTGAGTGTAAGCTTCTGTGGACACAGGCGTCCATCCTGGAACAAAGCTCTGCGAGTCTTTAAGATACCCTGGCCTGGCTGGATGGCCCCGGCTAGCCTGACCTCATCAGATCTCAGAAGCTCAGCAGGGTCGGCCCTGGTTAGGACTTGGACGGGAGACCTCCAAGCAAGTCCAGAGTCACAACCCAGAGGCAGGCAATAGCAAACGACCTCTGCACATGTCTTGGCCTGAAAACCCTACAGGGTCACTCTGAGTCGGCTGTGATTTGATGGCGGTTTCCACCACCACCAGTCTTTAAGAGCCGACTTTTAGTGGGTTTTTTTCTGTGTCAGAAAATACTTTGGGGAGGGACATCCTGGGTTGGCAGAGCAACTCACCTTAGTACTTTCTGGAATGGACTTTGACCAGTGTCTAGCTGGACACGTCGCTGGACATGGTGGATGCTGGTACTAATCCACAAGGAGCGATGCTCCCTCTAAGCTGTGGTAGGTAGATAGGTAGGTGGGTATGGTTTTATTGTATATGGCCATAAGCAGTGTTCCTTCTAAGCTGAGTTAGTGTGAGCTAGCTCACAGTTTTTTAGCCTCCGGCTCACACATTTTTGTCTTAGCTCAGGAAGGATATGGCTCCAGAGCAAACTAACTTACGCAGCAGCCAAACTTGAATGCCAGTAGCTCACAAAGTAGAATTTTTGCTCACAAGGCCCCGCAGCTTAGAGGGAGCGTTGGCCATAAGCCTTCACAATATCAAAACAACTCTCAGAAAGTTTATACGTTAACCCATGATAGAATGTTTCAACCTCTATTAAAACGCATAAAGCACCTGGTAAAATTATCTCAACCTAAACTGATAAGACCTTTTAAAATCACTCACTTGGTTGCAATGGGACTATTTGATTTCTTTGCTCTAATTTTTCTCGTGGCCAGGGCAAAGAGAGCCAGTCTTGAAGAAATGAAAGAGTCCTCATCTGAGAGTAAAAAGGCTATCTTTTCATAATCAGACAGGGGGTATAGGGCTGTCAATATCTTTGCTAAAATTTTGGCCCTAGGTTCTACATATAAGGGACAAGCCAGAATCTAAGCTGTGGAGTCTTGTGAGCAAAAATCCTACTTTGTGAGCTACTGGCATTAAAGTTGTGAGCAAGCGATTTGGCTACTGCATAAATCAGTTTGCTCTGGAGCCATCCTCCCTGAGTGGAGACAGAAATGTGTGAGCCAGAGGCTAAAAAACGGTGAGCCGCCTCACACTAACTCAGCTTAGAGGGAACACTGACAAGGGGTACATCAGAACATCAGAACATCAGAGACGCCAATGTTGGATCAGGCCAAAGGCCCATCCAGTCCAACACTCTGTGTCACACAGTGGCCAGAAATACCAGTGCCATCAGGAGGTCCAGCAGTGGGGCCAGGACATTAGAAGCCCTCCCACTGTTGACCCCCCCCAAGCACCAAGAAGACAGAGCATCACTTGCCCCAGAGCCCCTAGCTATACCTTGTGGCTAATAGCCACTGATGGACCTCTGCTCCATATGCTTATCTAATTCCCTTTTGAAGCCGTCCATGCTTGTAGCTCCCACCACTTCCTGTGGCAGTGAATTCCATGTGTTAATCACTCTTTGGGTGAAGAAGTACTTCCTTTTATCCGTTCTAACCCGACCGCTCTGCAGTTTCATGGGGTACACTTGTCTCTCCACAAGGAGTACATTTGTCTCTCCTTGGTGCCTCCGTGGCCTGGCCAGATTCAGCCACAAGTTCATTTTGCCTGCCTGCAAAGCCCAGCTCAGCCAGTCACAATTTAGGATGCCTGATTTCTCTCTCTCGCCAACCGAAAAGTAGTTTAATACAGATGCAGTGTCAAAAACACATTTCTGCAGTTACAGTTAGGTTTCCTCTATAAAGAAGACAGACAAAGAACACCAGAAGGACGACAACGTGCATGTAACCAACAGCCCAGGTAGGCCTCGAGGGAGGCAGCGGAAGCAGCGCCAGTCAACAAGGAGCGGTCCTTTTCACTGTGCAGACTGCGGACTCCGACACCCTCCCGCTTCAGTCCTTGTCTTCCCCGTGTGTGATGATGTGGACCAGGTTCTTATAGTCCAGGTTTCCAGTGACGTCTGGAGGGAAAGCAGCAAACATTTGGTCTACCTGTTGTAAGAGAGAGAGACGGACGGGGAGGAATTCTCTTGAGTTCTATTGATTTGCACTGGGTATTGCTAGAGCTGCAAACAGAGAACCAGTCCTAGGGGTGCACTGAATCCACAAGCATTTAGCTGGTTAATCGACAGGGCCCAATTTTGATCCGCAGGGCTCAAGGCATGCTCGTTTACCTCTACCTCTGAAGACGAAGAAGAAGAGCAAACAGAGTGGATTTATACCCCACCCTTCACTACCCAAAGGAGTCTCAGAGTGGCCTACAAACTCCTTTCCCTTCCCCTCCCTGCAACAGACACCCTGTGAGGTAGGTGGGGCTGAGAGAGCTCTGACAGAAACTGCTCTTTTTCAAGAACAGCTGTGCCATAATTATGGCTTGCCCAAGGTCACCCAGCCAGGTGCAAGTGGAGGAGTGGGGAATCAAACCCGGTTCTCCCAGATTACAGTCCACGCCACTTAACCACTACACCAAACTGACTCTGAGATGGTTTTGCTTCTGCTGTGGTCTCATAAAGGGTACTCGACTCCAGAGGGAGAGTCTGTCTCAGCAACCACAACAAGGGAGTCTTGCGGCATCTGGAAGATTCGTTGCAGCCAATGCTTTTGTGACCCAGAGTCCCCGTGAAAGATGACTCCTCAGGTTCTCGCCCAGGGAAGCTTCTGTCATGGTAAATATGCTCACTTTGAACGTGCCACAAGATTCAGAGAAGGCCTGTGGTTCATTAGCGGTGCATGCGCTTTGCCTAGAGAAAGTCCCAGGTTCGATCCCCGTCATGCTGAACATGCATGAAACTGCCTTATCAGGTTGGTATTGTTGACTTGAACTGGCAGCAGCGCTCTCCAGGGTCGCAGGCAGAGGTCTTTCCCATCACCTGCGACTTGATCTTCTTAAGAGAGCCAGTTTGGTGCAGTGGTTAGGAGCGCGGACTCTAATCTGGGAGGAGAATCGAGTTTGATTCCCCACTCCTCCACTTGCACCTGGCTGGATAACCTTGGGCAAGCCATAGTTCTGATAAGAGCTGTTCTTGAAAAAGAGCCGTTTCTGTCAATAGCTCTCTCAGCCCCGCCTGCCTCACAGGGTGTCTGTTGTGGGGAGGGGAAGGGAAAGGAGTTTGCAAGCCACTCTGAGACTCCGAGTGAAGGGCGGGGTATAAATCCAATCTCTTCTTCTTGTTCTTCTTCTTAACTGGAGATGCCAGGGATTGAACCTGGGACCTTCTGCATGCCAACCAGAGGCTCTACCACTGAGCCACAGCCCTTCGCTGTTTCTCAGATAACAGGTGTAAAGACTTCCAGCCGTCTGGAACCTTGGGGTGATGCTGCCAGTCACAGGTGACAATACTGAGCTAGCGGGACCAAGAGGCTGGGCTCGTTTTTGTTTTTCTAACGGGGTGCAAAAAGAAACGCTAAGGGCGGCCTCCCCTCTCCCGTGGAACCCTTTGGTTGGCCAGACTTCATTCTCACGACAGGTCAAAACCTCCTCCCACCTGCCTCCCAGTCCCGACCTCCTCGTTTAAAGCTGTCTTGACTGATATGTGAAGTCAGAATTTCCCAGCTGCAACCCAGAATTTGTTCTTCTTACAACTAACAGTCTGGGTAATCAGGTTCGCTGGAAGAATTTTACCTACTGGACCAGTCAGTTTTATTTGAAGCCCTTTTCCTCACGCCCCGGTGGTCTCCCTTTCTTTGCATACGCTGCTTCTCTGACTGCCTGTTTGGTGAGTTTCGTATTGAGCAAAGATCATTTAAAACGCCTTCCCTTGCTCCCAGTACTGGTCCATTAATCGGTGGCGACGAGAACGCTGGTGGTTTCGGCAGGGATCTGTACTTCTTCAAGGGGTGGACGCCCCCTCCCCTCCACTGGTGAGCCAGCTCTCGGTCCTGCCTCGGTTTCTATCAAATGCTCATCAGCCTTAGGATATCTGTCTAGCTTTCCATTTAGTTTCTTTCCATTTTATTGTTTTTGTTTAATGGGCTGAGAGCTTTCATCATTACTGTGTTTTTATCCTCTTTTAAAACTTAAATGCCGAGAGCCTTGCGATAGACCGTTGTTAGCTATTGCAATAAATGTTGCCAGCGTATGAAATAGTTGGCAGAGCATAAACAGAAGAGGAAGGGGGGAGAGGCAGGGCTATGAAGCAGCGCCCAGCAGTCCTTCAATTTATTTATTTATTTAGACAAGGCATGTCGCCCCCTGCCCCCTTCCAGAATTTTCTCAAGGCAGCTCACACAAGAGGGCTGGTTTGATCTAGTGGTTAGGAGCTCTAATCTGGGAGAACCGGGTTTGATTCCCCACTCCTAGTGCGGCTGCTGCTGTGACCTTGGTTCAGTCACAAGTTCTCTCAGAGCTGTTTTGTCAAGAGCAGTCCTCGAGAGAGCTCTCTCAGCCCCACCTACCTCACAGGGTGTCTGTTGTGGGGAGAGCAGGGGTCATTTCCTGCAGGAGTGCACAGGAGCGGAGCGCCGGCAGTAAAGAGCCCAGGGGGCGGGCACATGCAACAAGCCCCACCCCCTGCTCCCAGCAGCCCTCAGTCAGAGCAAGAAGCAGCCAGGTATGCTGCAGAGCTCCCCCCTCCGTGTCCCGGTCCAAAACAGTCCAGTGGCACCTTTAAGACCAAGTTTTATTCAGGTACAAGCTCTCCCTCCTCTGCGAGGACAGATCTGCACGTCCCCCCCCCCGCAATAGCTAGCAATCCAAAACAGTCCAGTGGAGCCTGAGCGGTGGGTGTTGCCTTCGTTCTGACACGCTTCCGGGGATGTCAGGGGGTGTGGCATATGCAAATAAGTTATGGTAATGAGCTATGCTAATAAGCTCCTGCACCTCTTTTTCTACAAAATGACCCCTGGGGGAGAGGAAGTTGATTGTAAGCTGCTCTGAGACTCCAAGGGAAGGGTGGGGTATAAATCCAATCTCCTCCTCCTCTTCTTCTATCAAGGGCATTCAGTCCTGGGGAAGCACTACCTGGTGAGTTCCTGTTTGGTATGTGGCCGTCACAGTCCCTCAGAAACATGCTGGGAACAAAGTGATGATTCATGCACACCTAAGTGGAATCTCTGTTGTAGCCGTTTAGCTGTTAGGGCATGTCTAAGGGAGTCCTGGAAATTGAAATGTAGTGAGGCGGCTGAGAATTCTTGGGGGTGGGTGGGGTGGAGATCCTCAGCCTCCAGTCACAAAACTACATCTCCCACAGTTCCTTGGAGGAAGAGGGAGGGACTAACTGTTAAACCTGTGCAGTACCTGAAACGCAGCCCCGCCCTTGGCAGGAAAGGATGCCCGCTTACCTCCTCCTGTGAAAACCGCTCTCCTTGCGTCGTTAGCATCTCTTTAATGCTGCAAACAAAGCACAGGAGAGGAGATGAAGAAAAGTCTCCTGCTTCAAAGGAGTCCAGCGCCCTCCTCCGCTCCTGGATGCTTTTAGACTAGTAGAAACTGTCACCATTTCTTTCTCGTGCTTAAATCTAGTTTGTGTGTACGTAGGATCCGTGGCCGAAGCAGACCACTATGCAAAAGAATAAAACTGATAGGCATCATCAGTCAAAGGGCTGGAACTCGTGGGCCCACTCCAGTCACGGCAGTGCATTTTCCCATGGACTGAGGCTATCTCTCTGCATCTAACTTGCCATCAAGTTACAGCTGACCCCATAGGGTTTTGAAGGCAAAATATGTTCAGAGGTGGTTTGCCATTGCCTGCCTCTGCATTTCTACCCTCAATTTCCTTGGTGGTCTCCCACCCAAGTACTAACCAGGACTGTCCCTGCTTCGTCTCCAAGATCTGACGAGATCTCTGGACTCATTTACTGGAAGAACGCAAAAGATGCTCTGGTTTAAAAGACTGACTGTGTTATAAATGGTATAAATGGCATATTGTTTGTATATACAATTTGCGATTCAGTGGCTGAGGACAGGATACTATGCCTGGTTTCTACCTTGCCAGTCACCTAGTTGCCAACCTCCAGGTGGGAAATAGTAACACTAAAGCACCATGTAATGGACAATGGTCCCGGTCACACGAGCGGGATGATCCGCTGCCAAAGGGAGGCACATTAGAGCTGGAGCTGGAGCAAAAAGAACCGCGGGAGCATGATCCGACGTGCCCCCGTGGCTCCGTGCTCTGGCAGCCGATCACACGTTGTGCAGCAAACCAGCAGTAGTGCGGTTGTGCGCATGCGTGGGATGGGGAACGGCGCTGGCTGCGACGGGCTACCAGCGCCTCCCCGACCACACGCCTGGAGTTGCCGCGCATCATCCAGAAGGTAGTGCTCTGTTGCTAGAGTACCTTTTAAATGTGCGTTTTCGGGCTGGATCGGGGACGGGTGCGAGACGCTTCCCAGATGTACCGGTGTGATCGCGCCCGCTTGATGCGCCCCTGAGCCGTCCCTCTTGCGGGGCAAATCCTCCCGTGTGACCGGGGCCAATAATATAATCTTAAATCAACTCAAAAAATGTGGGTTTTTTTCTTCCAATATGTTGGTATTTATAATGTTAATTTATTATTACACAAACACCATAATTGCAATGTGCATTAAATACAAAACATTCAAGATTTGTTTTTAAAAGTACAACGTTTGCCCCATAAGTGCAAGACTTTTTTCAGCATTGTTTCATGAATATACTGAAGTTTACAATATATAACAGATTGAAAACATTAGGTAGTTATAAAAAACTTTTTTTATTATTATAATTTTTTATGAATTCCATTTTGTATTTCTCTTTACTATTACTGTTTTTCAATTTTGCACTTGTAGATTTACATATTTCTTGTATTCCGCAAGACCTGGGGAAGGCAGCAGAAACAAGTCAGCACCGGCTCTTGTTCTCTTACTACTATTTTCCTGCATCTTCATTTCGTCTAGACTTTCATGTCAACATAACCCTACGGGGCAAAGGTTGTTCTTTTGAAAAAAAAAAATCTCGCATGTTTTGTATTTAATTTGCATTGCAATTACTGTGATTGTGTAATGATAAATTAGCATTATAAATACCAATATATTGGAGAAAGAAAGAAAACATTTTGAGTTGATTTAAGATTATATTATTGTTTTCATTACACGGTGCTTTACTGTTACTATTTTCTACTGTTTACACCGTGGTCCTCTTGTTGTATTCTTATCAACCTCCGGGGGGAGGGTGGGGGAAACTGAAGTTCTCCTGGAATTACGACTGATCTCCACATGACAGAGACCAGCTCCCCAGGAGAAAACAGTAACCCCTGCTGACTTCCTTCCCCGAACTCCCCCCTCCCAGACACTACATCAAATCTCCAGTAAATTCCCAGGCTGGAGTTGGCAGCCAATGTTCCCTCTAAGCTGTGGAGTCCTGTGAGCAAAAATCCTACTTTGTGAGCGACTGGCATTAGAGTTGTGAGCGAGCAATTCGGCTGCTGCATAAACTAGTTCGCTCTGTAGCCATCCTTCCTGAGCGAAGACAAAAATGTGTGAGCCGGAGGGGTAAAAAACTGTGAGCTAGCTCACCACTAACTCAGCTTAGAGGGAACCCTGGTTGGCACCCCTAAGATCACCTGAAGTTGAGTCTCCAGAAGACACTTACTAATTTGCCTTCAAGCCCTTGCTCTCTGGGTCGAAAACTTTGAATGCGTTCAGAATCGTCTCTTCCGGGTCAGCACCTGAAATTTAAAGAGAACCCTGGGAAGTCCAAGATGTTGTGGAGGCTGCCCCGGTCTTCCCGCAAATCAAGGGAGGGAGAGATTTAGCTGAGACTGTCCTGGGCAGAAAGAGAGAGGTGGGGGGCATTCTTGCCAAGGGGTTCAAAGGAACCCGGACACTACAGCGGTGGGGCATCCAGACACTCTCCCTGGCGAGGGTAGGGGTCCAAATGGGACTAAGGGTCCTCTACGGTGAGTCCCACAAGTTCATTCAGAGGACAAGCAGGGAGTGGCCATAACCTTTGTGCCCTAGGCGGTCCCTCTCTCTGTCCCAGATCTGCTGCCCGTCAACTTCATTGGGTGCTTTCTAGTTCTAGTTTTTTGAAAGAGAAAGAGAAGAAGAAGGGATTGGATTTATACCCCACCCTTCACTCGGAGTCTCAGAGCAGCTTACAAACTCCTCTCCCCCTCCCCTCAACAGACATCCTATGAGGTAGGTGGAGCTGAGAGAGCTCTTTCAAGAACTGCTCCTGAGAGAACTTGTGATAGACCCAAGGTCACACCAGCAACTGCATGTGGAGGAGTGGGGAATCAAACCCGGTTCTTCCAGATTAGAGTCCGCGCACTTAACCACTACACCAAACTGGTAGTTCCCTCTGCCTACTTTCTTCATACCATGCATCATTCTGCCTTACTCTGGAGTCCCTCCCCAGCCTTCCAGCCTCGTCTGTCTTCCCGAAAACGGGAAGTGCTGCACCCAAGAAGGGCCTGGGACTGGGTGAGAAAATCCCTGGAGATTTGGGCAGAGCCACCCCACAGCCCCCCAGTCCAAAACAGTCCAGTGGCACCTTTAAGACCAAGTTTTATTCAGGTACAAGCTCTCCCTCCTCTGCAGGGACAGATTGCACGTTCCCCCCCCCCCAATAGCTAGCAATCCAAAACAGTCCAATGGAGCCTGAGTGGTGGGTGTTGCCTTCTGACACACTTCTGGTGATGTCTGCATGTGTGGCATATGCAAATAAATTATGCTAATGAATTATGCTAATTAGCTCCTGCACCTCTTTTTCTACGAAATGACCCCTGATTCCAGGAGCTCTTCAGGCCCCACCTGGAGGTTGGCAACTCTAATGGGCTCTCTCCCAGTCAGGTCAGACTAAGCCAGTTAACTCCAGCCGGGGACAGAGGCCTCCACAGCAGGGGCCGCTTAGCTCTTGCAATGGGAAGCACGTTCAGCCCCGGGCAGCGTCTCACTCACCTTTGAGTTTCTCGCCAAACATGGTCAAGAATACGGTGAAGTTAATCGGTCCAGGTGCTTCCTTGATCATATCGTCCAGCTCTTCATTTTTCACATTCAAGCGTCCTGCCGAAAGAGAAGGATCCGCATCACAGGATTCAATGTTTCTTGATTGGTTAAGCTCTCTCAGAGGCTCTCAAGCATAAAGGAACGAGATACTCGATAAAACTATAAACCACCAAGAATCCGAATGACAAACTGATGAGTGGCTAAGTAGCTATCAAGGCAGGCGCAAAATACTAAAAATCCCGAGAAGTTCAGCATGAAAAGCGAGAGCTGAGAGAAAGCAAAGGGCCCGTTAAGCACTAGTTTTGCGCATGGGTGTAAAATTCAGTGTATTAAACACTCATGATCATCAAATTCCCAGGAGACTGGCAGCATCTTCCCCTAGCAGCTGAACACTGGAAGAGCAGGCGGAGTTCCATAGGTCAGTTATGTGCCACTGCAGAACGGGACTTTCTCTTGTGGGCATTCATCTCCTCTTGGAGGCTGGGGGCATGCAGGGCTGGGCCGCTAGTAGTTCTCAACCCCCCCAAAATACACATGGAATGGAGGGCAACCAAGATGGTGAAGGGGGGGGGGTTGGAGCACCCTCCCTGTGAGGAAAGGCTGAAGAGTCTGGGAGTTTTCAGTTTAGAAAAGAGATGACGGGGGGGGGGACGTGATAGAGGTTTATAAAATCATGCAGGGGGTGGAGAGAGTGGACAAAGAGAACTTTTTCTCCCTCTCCCAAAATACCAGAACTCGAGGGCATCCAATCAAGCTGATGGGCAGTAGGTTCAGGACGACAAAAGGAAATACCACTTTACACAGCGTGATCGAAATGTGGAATTCTCTGCCAGAGGATGTAGTGATGGCTACAGGAATAAACAGCTTTAAAGGGGGATTAGATAGATTCATGGAGGATGTCTGTCAGTGGCTACTAGCCATGGCGACTGAGGGGAACCTCTACATTCACAGGCATTAACCTCTGAATCCCAGAGATAGGAGGCAACATCAGGAGAAGGCCTCCGCCTCTGTGCCCTGCTGTTGGCCCTCCAGAGGAACTGGTCGGCCACTGTGTAAGACAGGATGCTGAACTAGATGGACCACTGGTCCGATCCAGCAGGGCTCTTGATGTTCTTACAGTTGAATGGCTTCATTGCACAAGTGGAGACCTTCCAAGCCAGCTGTTCCACAGTACCCCAGCACGGGCCTGAGATGTTTTTTTTCTGGATCTGCAAAAAGAGAGGCTACCCTCCAAAGGCTATGGGGTACTTCTGACTTTGGAGGGACAGGACGGTGGCCAAGTCTAGATTATGTTAAGTGGCTGAACGTCCCAATGTCTGCATTGCCAGATCTTTTGACTCTCAAAGGTTCTGTATTTCTGATATTTCCATTTTGCAGTGGTTCTTTACACCTTGATGTCTCTTACATCCTAAAATACACAGAAAATATTTTTTCTACTCTACAGGACTGACCTGGATGGCTCAGACTATCGTGATCTCATCGGATCTCGGAGGCTAAGCTGGGTCAGCCCTGAGGTCCACGGTCGCTATGCAGAGAGAAGCAATGACAAACAATCTCTGAACGCCTCTTGCCTTGAAAACCTTGTGGGGTTGCCATAATTTGGCTGTGACTTGATGGTGCTTTCCACCACCACAGGATGACAACTCAGTTTGCTGAAACTGGCCCAGGTGAGTCACGGAAGTTGCACGGTTGCAAGTCACCCGGTGGTTGCTGCTGGCTCTGGCCCCTCCCCCTGCCTTTTCTTGCTGGAAACCAAGGCTTGAATGCTGGCAATACTGTCATGGTTGCCTAACATTGGCCACCAGGGTCTCAGAGGGCATTTATTTCTTAACGCTACAGTCATGGCTTCCATTTGGTATAGTGGTTAAGAGCCAGCTTGGTGTAGTGGTTAAGAGCGGCAGACTCTAATCTGGAGAACTGGGTTTGATTCCTGACTCCTCCGCACGAAGCCAGCTGGGTGACCTTGGGTCAGTCACAGTTCTCTCAGAGCTGTTCTCTCAAGAGCAGTTCTCTCAGAGCTCTCTCAGCCCCACATGTCTGACAGGGTGTCTGTTGTGGGGAGAGGAAGGGAAGGTGATTGTAAGCCGCTCTTTTTTGGAAGTGACATTCTTGCATATGATTTTTTTTTTTTGGTGCCCCAAAACCTCTTTAACAGCTTTCAGGTGTGTTTTGTAAAGACTTCTCTTCACCTACCTAGTGCCGCAAATGTGTCTCTCAGGTCTGCTTTGTCAATGAAGCCATCACGGTTCTGATCCATAATGGTGAATGCCTAAAACAGGAGAAGGTGATACACAGTTGGAGTGGCTTGTATTTTTATTTAGGGGTCAGGATTCAAAGTTCCATTTCTGGATTTTTTTTACAAAGTAAGTTTCCAGTCTTTATGATTGTGTCTGCGCATGTGTGTGTCTGTGCACACGCCACTGGATGAAATTTCAGAAGCCAGAGATACGACTAAGTAAGATTTCTGAGTCTCCTGGGGACAGGGTTCTGAGGCCCATTCAAAATACATAGTAGTTGGGCAGCAAAACCAGGACCAATTGCCCCATTTATCCTACATTGTTTGCACAAAGAAAAGCATGCAAATGCTCTTGATTTACATAATTTATATAGATTGCCAGTGTGTGTTAGTTTTGCATGGAGCCTGCCGTTATGCGGGTCTTTGCGGCTGACTCCGCTGTTCAAATGGGAAGTTCAGAAGCATTTGGGCCCGGGTTCCAGAGCTGAGCCCTGGCTTCAGGGTAAGCCCACACAAAGTCCCCTTTAATTGGCTTTTGGAACCCTTAATCTCTCAGAATGCGGCGTCAGCCCAGGCTTGGCGTCCAGCGGCACATTAGAGAAGCTGTTCGGAATACCTTCTGTGAGCCTCTCTTGAGCCTGATTCCCTTTCGTTTGTCTCTACTACCAGAACACTGGAGTTGGGTGTTGGACTTTGACATGGGAGTCTTTGGCTCTTTTCACAGGGAGTTTTCCCCCACAGTTCGGGTGCCAACCCAGAGTGGTTTTTCTCCAAGTTTCCTACTGCTCCTCTTCATTACAAGATCGAAGGTGGACGGAGGAAGCACATAGGTATAATGAGGGAAGATAATGAACGGGAAACAAGGACGTGAGGAAAACTGCTGTGCGTCGGCACCCAAACCGTGGGAAATCCTCCATCTGAAGAGGCCTTTGGGCTGTCTGTTCCCCAGAAGACCTTGGGCCAGTCAGTATCTTATCTTTCAGCCTTTCCTACTTCGCAGGGTTGTGATAATAAAAGGAGGGGAGACCAGGCATGGAGGCCTGAGGTCCTTTGGGGTAGGGTTGCCAAGTCTATTATAGCATTGGGGAAAGTGCAGAAAAGGGCAACTAGGATGATAAAAGGGTTGGAACACTTTCCCTATGACAAAAGGTTAAAGCGCTTGGGGCTCTTTCGCTTGGAGAAACGACGGCTGAGGGGTGACATGATTGAGGTTTACTAGATTATGCATGGGACAGAGCAGGTAGAGAAAGAAGTACTTTTCTCCCTTTCTCACAATACAAGAACTCGCGGGCACTCCATGAAATTGCTGAGCAGTCGGGTTAGAACCGACAAAAGGAAGTCCTTCTTCACCCAGAGAGTGATTAACACATGGAATTCACTGCCACAGGAGGTGGTGGAGGCTCCAAGCATGGACGGCTTCAAGAGGGAATTAGATAAGCATATGGAGCAGAGGTCCATTGGTGGCTATTAGCCACAAGGTATAGATAGGGACTCTCGGTCTGGGGCAAGGGATGCTCTGTATTCTTGGTGCTTGGGGGGGGTAACAGGTGGGGGCATCTAGTGTCCTGGACCCACTGCTGGACCTCCTGATGGCACCTGGTATTTTTTGGCCGCTGTGTGACAGAGTGTAGGACTGGATGAGCCATTGGCCTGATCCAACATTGGCTTCTCTTATGTTCTTATAAGAGGGAATTAGATAAAGACAGAGGTCATTTCCTGCAGGAGCACACAGGAGCGGAGCTCTGGCAGTAAAGAGCCCAGGGGGTGGGAATATGCAACAAGCCCCACCCCCTCCTTCCAGCAGGCCTCAGTCAGATCAAGAAGCAGCCAGGTAAGTTGCAGAGCTCCCCCCCCGCCCCCCGTTCCAAAACAGTCCAGTGGCATCTTTAAGACCAAGTTTTATTCAGGTACAAGCTCTCCCTCCTCTGCGAGGACAGATCTGCACGTTTCACCCCCCACCCCCCAATAGCTAGCAATCTAAAACAGTCCAGTGGAGCCTGAGCGGTGGGTGTTGCCTTCTAACACACTTCCGGTGATGTCAGGGCGCGTGGCATATGCAAATATGTTATGCTAATGAGTTATGTTAATGAGCTCCTGCACCTCTTTTTCTACGAAATGACCCCGGGATAGAGATATGGAGCAGAGGTCCATCAGTGGCTATTAGCCACAAGATACAGACAGGAACTCTCAGTCTGGGGCAAGGGATGCTCTGTATGGGCCATTGGCCTGATCCAACCCTGGCTCCTCTGATGTTCTTATGTTCTTAAGTCTAGGTTGGGACATTCTTGGAGATTTGGAGCTGGAGGCTGGGGTTTGGGGACAGGAGGGGCCTCGGTGGTTATCATGCCGTCGAGTCGCCCTCCAAAGCCGCCATTTCCTCCAGGGGAACTGATTTGTGTACTCCGGAGATCAGCCGTCATTCCAGGACATCTCCAAGCCACACCTGAAGGTTGGCAAGCTTAGAGATGAGGGAGAATTGGGGTTGGGGGGGTTGGTTTTAGTACAGATGTGCGGCCACTTATAGAGCTTGTGGTAGAGGCGATTGGCGTCAAGGTCTCCCTCTGGTTTACAGATCCCGCTCTGAATCGCTTTGTGGTGACCCCTTTAGTGGAAGAGTCCCGTCAGACTTTGGGCCTGATTTTGGGCGGGGTGTTTGCCTTTGAATCCTCTGGTCCTCCCAACTTACCTCTTTAAACTCCTGGATCTGAGCCTGTTCAAACATGGAGAAGACGTTGGAGTTGGCCCCTTCCGCCCTCTTCTTAGCTTTCTTGGGCGCCTTTGGGGAATGCAAACGGGACGCTGTTATTCAGGGGTCTCGGTTCAACTCACGAATGCGCACAGCCGTCTCATCCGGAGTCAGACCCTGGCCCCATCATGTCCCGGGAACTCAGGATCCTGCCCGCTAGAGCTTCTGTGAGTTGGAGACCTGGGTGCCGTTGCCAACTTGGGTTAGGAAGTTCCTGGAGATTTTTTTGGGGGGTGAAGCTGGAGAGGGACCTCAGTGAGATATAATAATGTAGAGTCCTCCTTCCAAAGTTGCCATTTTATCCAGGGGACCTGATCGCTGTAATCTGGAGATTAGTTGTGATTCCAGGAGATCTCCAGGCCCTGCCTGGAGGTTGGGAACCCTAGGTCACCAGCATGCGAGGACTTCACCCAAGGCCCTTTGTGCACAAGGCGGGTGCTCTGCCCTTGAACTCTCTTCCCATCTTTGATCGAGGAGGATGGGAGGAGAGGCCAGCCATCGTAACGCTCCCCATACTGATGGTTGTTCCAGATGTTGCCCTCGCAGCTGCCTCTTGGCCCCACAGTCTCTGAAAGAGGCAACATCTGGGAGGGCATTCAGTAATACTGCAGCATTTAGGTCTTACAGGGTTGGACAAATGTGTGGAGGATCGATCTGTCCACAGCTATGAGCCGTGATAGCTAAGTAGAACATCCATGGACAGAGGCAGTACACCTCAGCGTCTGGCATTCAGAGGACAAGCAGGGAGTGGCCATAACCTTTGTGCCCTAGGCGTGAATGTCCGGAAGTGGCCACCAGCCTCATAAACAGGGTTCTGAATTAGAAGCGCTTTTGGCCTCATCCAGCATGACAGCTGAGATGTTCCTAACTGGAATTGGAGCCAGGACAAAATGTAGACGGTGCGAGCCTTTGCGTGACATTGTCTGCACCGGATAATTTTCTCATGCTTTGTATAGGACAAGGTAGACAGATCATCTACTAGGGCAAACACATTTTTTCTGGCTTTCCCCTCTGCTCGTATCTCTGTTAGTCCCTTGTAGCCAACTAATCACCTTCATTTTAACTAATTGTATGGTTCGTATTTTGGCATCCTCTCCATGTAGATTTTGTGAGACACTGAAGCAAATTTCAGGTCACCGACAACTTAATGGACTAATTTAATCACTTAATCACTCACGATTAGAATGCAACAAGAGGGGGACCCGCGATACTCGCGGGGGGGGGAGAAGAGCTCCGTCTCCTCCATCCCCCCCCTCAATCTCCCCGAGGCTGCGGTGGCGGCGAGGCCAGTCCTCCACCCCCCACACCGTCCGGCTCCAACCCGGCCGGGCTCCGCGGCGGCGGCGGTCCCCCCCCGCCCAGCTTCGAGGCGGAGGCGGCGACTTCGAGGCCGGTCCTTCCCCCCCCTTTGCTGGGCTTGGCGGCAGCGGCGAGGCCGGTCCTCCCCGCCCGCCCGGCTCCGAGGCGGAGGCGGAGAGGCCGGTCCTTCCCCCCCCTTTGCCGGGCTCGGCGGTGGCGGCAAGGCCGGTCCCCCGCCCGCCCGCCCGGCTCCAAGGAGGAGGAGGCGGCGGCTGGGCGGTGGCGAGGCCAGCTACAGAGCATTCCCTGCGCATGCGCAGGGGACGCTCTGTCACTTTCGGGGGGATTTAAACATCCCCCCGAATTTTTTTCAACTTTTTCGTTTTTTGTGCACACGTGGGGACTGGCCCACATGTGCACAAACCTCCCCCTCCCCCCCAAGTGCCACCGGAGTGCTGATTTAGCGATCCGCACTCAGGGGGCAACTTGGCTATTAGATATATAGATGTCACCTCCTACACTTTCTGGACATTGTCTGTTAAAAAGATACACGAGAGCCGTACCCTCTTAAAGACAGCGCATTTGCAGGTTTTTTGGGGGGTACTATTAGATGTGAACCCGCAGTTACCGGGACAACTGTCCCCTGTGGCATGGAGCCCCTTTGGCCAGCTTTGCGGCAGCCCTCCCTCCGAAGGCAAGGGCTGGCCACATCCATGCCCAGATCACACCCGGGCTAGATTACTGCAATACGCTGTATGTGGGAGCTGGCTTTGAAGACTGTTCAGGAGCGCCAGTTGGCACCACATGCGGCTGCTGGATTGCCAGCTGGCACAAGCTACAAGGAAAGCGTCTCTCCAGTTTCAGCAAAAACAAAAAAGTTGGCTGTCGATTCACTCTTGGGCACAATTCAAAGCGGCAACGTGGGTTTCCCAGAAAAAAAAAATGAATTAGAAAACGTTCCAGTGCCTAAAATAGAGTGCGTTGCAGCATGTTTGTTTTGATTCATATTCGGTAAACAACACTTAAAAGGACCCCGTGTTGATTTTATGTCCCAGTAGGAACAAATACTTGAACGGAAATGTTTGACTAGGAAGAAAATGACTCTGCGATACATGCACTCTATGTGGGGATGTCCTGAAGCTACGATTGATGCAGAATGCTGCAGCCAGAATTCTGACTGTCGCGGACTCCAGTCTTGTTCCATTGATAATGGCTCCGCGTACAATGGATCTGAGACCTGGCCCTTTGGTCTGACAGGACCTGTTTGTAGCGGGACCCTCCTGCAATACACCATGCTCAGATTTTTTTTGCCGGCAGGGGATCTTGCTGCCTTGGCGATCCCGGAGTACCGGAGAATCTTCACTTTGGCACGTTTCAGTGCCTCGCCCTCAGCTTTTCTGGAAGGCGGGTATCTTCTCATTCCTTATTCCCAATGGGTTTGCCCCGTGTCAAATGGGAAAAGTTGAGAAAGCTGATCACGTATTATCACACTCCCCCTGCTATAATAATATACGTTCCCAATATATTATGCCGATTTTTATAAATTCCCCGGGAAGATCAGAGCAATTCTGTACTTCCCTCCTGCTTTCAGACTTCTCTACAGAAATTACTTGTAACGTAACAAAATTTTGCAGAATGGCATGTGTGCAATATGGAAGGAGATGACTCAGTCTTCAAATAACTGACCCGCTCTATTGTGAAATGTGAGAATTCCGAAACGTTGGATTATAACGGCACATATAATAAGGCTGCGGTCACACACCCTAAATAACCCACTTTCAATCCACTTTCAGTGCACTTTACAACTGGATTTTACTGTGTGAACTGGTAAAATCCAGTTGGAAAGTGCATTGATAGTGCATTGAAAGTGGATTATTATTTAGGGTGTGTGACCGCGGCTGTAAGTCTTTCTTGTTGGTCATGGTATTGTACATGGCAGTTTTAATACTTTTTATTAATACTTTTCGAGGTGATCTTGTGTCGAAATCAACTGAACTGAACTGGCTCCCAGTTTGCTTCTAGGCCCAGTTTAAGCTTCTACTGAACTTATTGCTTATGGCCCATTGTTCTGTGAGCATGAATTATAGAAAGAAGAAGAAGAAAGAAGAGGAGGAGGAGGAGGAGGAGGAGGAGGAGATTGGATTTATACCCCATGGCCCTTCACTACCCAAGGGAGTCTCAGAGTGGCTCACAAACTCCTTTCCCTCCCCCTCCCCACAACAGACACCCTGTGAGGTGGGTGGGGCTGAGAGAGCTCTTGACAGAAACTGCTCTTTTTCAAGAACAGTTCTGGCAGAACTACGGCTTGCCCAAGGTCATCCAGCAGGTGCAAGTGGAGGAGTGGGGAATCAAACCCGGTTCTCCCAGATTAGAGTCTGCGCACTTAACCACCACACCAAACTGGCTCTCGCACTTAACCACTACACCAAACACTGAGGAGGCCTATACAGCTTGGGTTTAGCTTACATTCAAAACTGCCTGTTCCCATATGAAGCTACCCAAAAAATACATTCCCCCTCTGTAGATGGGTGGCGACCCCAGAATGGGCTTTTTTGGTTGTGGCATCAAAATTGTGGCATTCCCTCGACACAGAGCTTTGTCTGCCCCCTGCTCTCGTTATTTTAAGCTGGCAAAGCAAGAAGAAGAGAAGGATTTATACCTTGCCCTTCACTAGGAGTCTCTCCTTCCCTCCCCCACCCCACAACAGACACCCTGTGAGCAGTGTTCCCTCTAAGCTGAGTCAGTGTGAGCTAGCTCACAGGTTCTTAGCCTCTGGCTTACAGGTTTTTGTCTTAGCTCAGGAAGGAGGGCTCCAGAGCAAACTGATTTATGCAGTAGCCTAATCGCTCGCTCACAACTTTAATGCCAGTAGCTCACAAAGTAGAATTTTTGCTCACAAGACTCCACAGCTTAGAGGGAACGGTGTCTGAGAGAGCTCTTTCGAGAACTGCTCTTTTAAGAACAGCTCTGAAACAACTTGTGACTGACCCAAGGTCACCCAGCTGGCTGCAAGTGGAGGAGTGGGGGATCAAACCCATGTCTTCTAGTTAGAGTCTGCGCTCTTAACCACTACACCAAACTTGCTTTTTTCCCCCAGTTTCGTTTGCTGTTCCTCACTTACTCTGACTGACCCTCCTTGCTGTTCATGTGTTTATGCCTTTAAATTGTTTTGAACTGTTATACACATACAAGTGGGGGACCCGGAAGGATTCTCGGTGTGGGGGTGGGGTCATTTCCCCTCCCCCTCTCTTTCCATTCCCCCGAAAGCCTGCATATCCTCTCCCTGCTCTCTGCTTCCTTCTCTCCTTCCCACTCACCAACCTTTTATCTGCCCCCCATCTTCAGCCAGATTATTTATTTACTTCATTTGTAGCCCGTGTCTCTCCCCAGTGGGGACCCAAAGCAACTTACATCACTCTCCTCCATTTTGTCTTCAGAACAACAACCCTGTGAGGTAGGTTAGGCTGAGACTGTGCGACTCTTGCCCGAGGGCAGCCAATAAGCTTGCATGGCAGAGTAGGGGTCTGAACCCGGGTGTTCTGGATCCTAGCCTGAAACTCGAACTACTACACCACACTGACTTTCATGGGTGCCTGCTGTTGAAGAGTAGCACACAGCCAGGCCCAAGTGAGTCATGGAAGTTGCATGGTTGCTGCTTGCTCTAGCCCCAATGATTCCTACCTCAAAGGCCCAAATAGTCCTTGAAAGGGCTCTGCCCCCTCTTCCCCGGCCTTTTCCAGGTAGAAACCAAGGCTTGAATGCTGGCAATGCTGTTGTGGTTGCCTAGCATCGGCCACCAAAGTCTCAGATGGCATTTATTTCTTAACGCTACAGTCACGGCTTCCATTTGGTGTAGTGGTTAAGACTGGCGGACTCTAATCTGGAGAACCAGGTTTGATTCCCCACTCCTCCACATGAAGCCAGCTGGGTGACCTCGGGTCAGTCACAGTTCTCTCAGAGCTCTCTCAGCCCCACCGACCTCACAGGGAGTCTGTTGTGGGGAGAGGAAGGGAAGGTGATTGTAAGCCGCTCTGAGACTCCAAGGGAAGGGTGGGGTATAAATCCAATCTCTTCTTCTTCATTATTTGGGAGGAGTTTAACTCGATTCCTCCTGCTTTTTCATGTTTTTTATTGCCGATCTCCCTGTTGATGGTTGAGGAGCATTGATTGAACTTGTCTATCAGGCAGCCACCTTGGGAGCGAGTTTGCAAAGTGCACGGGGTGCAACTATCTTAAAATGAAAAATCACAATTTTTAAGAAACCAGGGAGGGGCTGTGCCCTTGGCTGTGATTTCCCCACTCACCAAGCCTGGCTGCCTCCAATGCAAGGTCCGTGGACCTTGAATCTTCTGGCCAATGTAAGGTAGATCCCGCTTTCCTTTGCCATCTCTTGAGGACTGATGGCTGGCAAAGATACTTCCCTCTTTACACAGTGGTGGTGGAAAGTGCCCTCAAGTTACAGCCGACTTATGGCGACCAGTGTTCCCTCTAAGCTGAGTTAGTGTGAGCCAGCTCACAGTTCTCTAGCCTCCGGCTCACACACTTTTGTCTTGGCTCAGGAAGGGATGGCTTCAGAGCAAACTAACTGATGCAGTAGCCAAATCCCTCGCTCACAACTTTAGCGCCAGTAGCTCACCAAGTAGAATTTCTGCTCACAGGATTCCACAGCTTAGAGGGAGCATTGATGGCGACCCCGTAGGGTTTCCGAGGCAAGAGACCTTCAAAGGCTGCTTGCCTTTGCCTCCCTCTGCATAGCAACCCTGGATTCCCTTGGCGGTCTCCCATCCAGGCACTCACCAGGACCGACCGTGCTTAGCTTCTGAGCTCGGAAGAGATGAGGGCAGCCTGGGCCATCCACACCAGGGCTTCCTGGCCTAGGAACAGTCAACTTCTTCTAGTTCCTCTTTGGTGCTGATTTCTGCCCTGCACCATCCAGTGCATGCCTCCCCCCCCTCCCCAGTTCCCTTTACTCACCATGGCTCAGACCGGAGTTGCGTGGCCCACAATCTTTCTGCGAGAACAGTCTGGCAGCCGGTGCCCCCGGGGCTCCGGTGGCCCAGACAATAAATACAGCCTCTCCCCCGTTTAAAAATAAACCCATGTCCACTTTTGGCTGTAATAGGTGAGCTGCTCTCCTCCCTCCTTTCTCGCTTCTTAAATAACAACAGTTCATTGTCATGCGGTGACATGTGAGACCCGCAGGCCTCCAAGGTACTTAGCGCCGGCATGCCAGCAAGCCTCTCCAATGAAGACGTCGAGGCCAGTGTCTCCTGGGAAGAGGTCGAAGAACAGCCGGCCACCTGTGGGTGTCAGTTTGTCCCAAACGTATCTCGAGGACGGGGCGGCCGGGCCCAAAGCAAATCGAACGACCTGGTTCCTGTGTGTGTGTGTGGTTGTTTTTGTTTCGCTGTTGCTCAGTCGCACGGTCGAGTCCGACTCTTCGCGACCCTGTGGACCACACCACGCCCGGCCCTCCTGTCTTCCGTCGTCCTCCGGAGTTTGCTCAATTTCATGCTCGTTGCATCGGTAACGCTGTCTAACCATCTCATCCTTTGCCGGCCCCTTCTTCTTTGACCTTCAGCATCAGGGTCTTCTCCAGCGAGGGCTCCCTTCTCATTTGGTGGCCAGAGTATTTGAGCTTCAGCTTCAGTCTCTGGCCTTCCAGGGAACAGTCAGGGTAGGGTACAGGTAAACGGCTTCCATTGTTTTGTCTGAATGTTCCGTCACACCCCTGTGGGACCAAGGGTTCGAACTCGGGGTGGGGCTATGCAAATGAATGGGAGGGGCTACATGAAGAACCGCCATCTTGCTCCTCAAGGCACTCATCCTAAGAGGACCCCTCTGCCCATAGGACTGGTTTCCAGTCAGCCCTAGGAGGGAAAATGAAAGTGGGTATTTCTTCGATGAGTGTTCTTCAGACATTTATTTATTTATTTATTTATTTATTTATTTATTCGGACTTATACCCCGCCCTCCCCACGAGCGGGCTGAGGGCGGCTTCCACTAAAAACATAAATTACATTAAAATACACAATATACAACATATCATAGAACATTAAGACATAAATACAAAGTGCAGGCTGGTGGCCTGGCTTTGGTAGAGAGGCCTCTCTTGAGTGCAGAGTGGTCGCAAAGTTCTTCGTCCACAAATGTCCCATGTGTTATAACAAGGAGCATTTGAGGAACATCCAGAATTCATTTCTTTATTTACTTCATTAATACCCCCCCTTTCTCCCCAGCGGGGACCCAAAGCAGGTTACATTCTCCTCTCCTTCATTGCATCCCCACTGTAACCCTGTGGGTAGATCTGGCTGAGAGCGTGTGACTGGCCCAAGGTCACCCGGCGAGCTTCCATGGCAACAAGTGGGGATTTGAACCTGGGTCTCCCAGTATTGGGCTGTTCCGTTAATACAGCAGAGTCTGCCCAGTCATAGAAGCGTGATACTGAGTGCAGTAAATAAATCTCCCAAGACGTATATTGCAAAGAAAAGTAAACTTAACATGTATTCAAGTAGATCCAGTTCACATTCAGGTTGCGGTCGAAAGGAGAGAGAGAAGCCTAATCTAAAGAGGACTTTCCCGGCTGTCACAAGTGGCCGGCTGGTCCGGCATCACGTCCGTGGGAGTATGAGGGCATTGACTCTGCGGGAGAGGCCTGCAGAGACATTTGTCTCCATGGAAGGCCATGTGAAGGAGAAGGAGAGGACAAAGAGAGAGGAAGGGTCAGAGAGCGACTCCCAGGTTAAAACAGAGAGGCATCTCATTCAAGGAGATAACACCTACCCTGAAGAAGAAAATGAAGAAGAAGAAGAGATTAGATTTATACCCTGCCCTTCACCACCCGAAAGAGTCTCAGCGTGCCTTACAATCTCATTTCTCTTCCCCTCCCCACAACAGACACCCTGCGACTGTGAGGTAGGTGGGGCTGAGAGAGATCTCTCAAGAACTGCTCCTGAGAAAACAGCTCTGAGAGAACTGTGACTGACCCAAGGTCACACCAGCAGCTGCATGTGGAGGAGTGGGGAATCAAACCCAGTTCTCCCAGATTAGAGCCCATGCACTTAACCACTACACCAAACTGGCTGTTTGGTTCCCCACTCCTCCACTTGCACCTGCTGGATGACCTTGGGCAAGCCATGGTTCTGATAAGAGCTGTCCTTGAAAAAGAGCACTTTCTGTCAGAGCTCTCTCAGCCCCACCTGCCTCACAGGGTGTCTGCTGTGGGGAGGGGAAGGGAAAGGGGTTTGTAAGCTGTTCTGAGACTCCGAGTGAAGGGCAGGTTATAAATCCAGTCTCCTCCTCCTCCTTCATCTTCTCTTCCTCCTCGTCTCCGTCTCCTCCTCCTCCTCCTCTTCTTCTTCCTCTTCTGCCGCTCAGCACCCTGGCCATGTGCCACCTCAGCCACCAACCATGCTTCAACAGAAAGGGAAATTCTGGCCCAGCTTTCTCCACTGCTTCGCTGGGCTACAGTGAGGATAGAGGCGAAAGCCGTGGCCATGTTTGGACCACTCCGGAGCAGTGTTCCCTCTAACCTATTTAGCCCCCCGGCTCACACATTTCTGTCTCAGCTCAGGAGGGCTCCAGCTCAGAACCCTGTGAGCAGTGTTCCCTCTAAGCTGAGTCATTGTGAGCTAGCTCACAGTTTTTTAGCCTCTGGCTTACAGGTTTTTGTCTCAGCTCAGGAAGGAGGGCTCCAGAGCAAACTGATTTATGCAGGAGCCAAATCACTCGCTCACAACTTTAATGCCAGTAGCTCACCAAGTAGAATTTTTGCTCACAGGACTCCAGAGCTTAGAGGGACCATTGCTTTGGCCGGGAGGCTTTGGCCGGGAGAAGGAGCTTGGGGGTGGACGGCTGAAGGGAAGAGGGGCTGGGGCTGGTGGGCGGCGGAGGAACCTTGTGCCAGCAGGCCATCTTTTTATTCTTCTGCTTGTATTTTTAGCTCCTCCACTGTGCCCCTGAGAATCTCCTCCCCCCTCCCCCCAGACATTTAGACCAGGGGGCTGGAGGTGAAGGTGACACCCGCCCACAAAAACAATACCCTTCGGGCTCCATCCTTTGCTTGCAGCTGTCCCAGCAGCACGTGACGGGGGGACGGATGTGCCGGCCAACAGCTGCTGCTCAGTCGGTGCCCCCCCTCCCCACGCCCTTCCTCCCCACGAAGAGGGGAGCAGCCGAGTGGGACAGCCCCTTCTGTTCCTCGGCCACTGCCTATACAGTGTGCCCTCTAAGCTGAGTTTGTGTGAGCTAGCTCACAGTTGTTTAGCGTCCCGGCTCACATCTTTTTGTCTCAGCTCAGGAAGGATGGGGCTCCAGAGCAAACTAACTGATGCAGTAGCCAAATTGCTGGCTCACAACTTTCATGCCAGGAGCTCACAAAGTAGAATTTTTGCTCACGAGACTCCACAGCTGAGAGGGAGCATTGATGTCAGAGACCAGTTCCTCTGAGGTCTTCTACTCCTCCAGACACGAGACATCCAGCCTGGCACTCGGCTGCTTTCTTCCACCTAGGACCAGTCTTCCCCCTAAGCTGAGTGAGCGTGAGCCAGCTCACAGGTTTTTATCCTCCAGCTCACCCATTTTTGTCTCAGCTCAGGAAGGAGGGCTCCAGAGCAAGCTAATTTATGCAGCAGCCATCACAGCTTCAATGCCAGCAGCTCACAAAGTAGGATTTTTGCTCACGAGACTCCACAGCTCAGAGGGAGCGCTGCAGTGTCCCCTCTAAGCTGAGTGAGCGTGAGCCAGCTCACAGGTTTTTAGCCTCCGGCTCACCCATTTTTGTCTCAGCTCAGGAAGGAGGGCTCCAGAGCCAGCTAATGTATGCAGAAGCCAGATCGCTGGCTCACAACTTCAATGCCGGTAGCTCACAAAGTAGGATTTTTGCTCACGAGACTCCACAGCTTAGAGGGAGCATTCCCTAGGACTGCCAAGTCTTAGGTGGGAAATTCCAGGAGATCTGGGGACAAAGGCTGGGGGGGCTGGAGTTTAGGAAGGGGAGGGGGCCGCTTTCCCCAGGGGAACGGGTCCGTGCCATCTGGAGATCAGTTGTAATTCTGGGAGCAATCCAGGCCTCACCTGGAGGTTGGCAACCGTAGTGCTGGGACTTAGTTTGCTGGATCCAATGAGGGGGGAGCTGGTGCAACCTGGCCTGATCCATAAGGAGGCTTGCAAACTCAGGGTGCCAAAGTCCAAAAGGACAAAGCGGCCCTCCAAATGGGACAGATGTCCTCCTCTCATTTGCTTCCTGCTCCAAGCGGTCCTGCCTCTCCTAATGATGCTGGGGATGTCTCAGAATGGTTGCCTTGGTTACAATCAGTCAGGCAGACCGGATCTCAATATTTAAAATAAGCTGTAAAGGCCAAGGTTTCCCTTGCTCGAAAGCCAGTCGAATCCGACTCTGGGGGGCGGTACTCATCTCCGTTTCCAAGCCGAAGAGCCAGCACTGTCCGAAGACATTTCCGTGGTCATGTGGCCAGCATGACTAGATGCCAAGGCGCACGGAACGCTGTTACCTCCCCACCAAGGCAGTACCTACTTAAAGGTAAAGGTTCCCTTGCTCGAAAGCCAGTCGAGTCCGACTCTAGGGTTGCGGTGCTCATCTCCGTTTCAAAGCCGAAGAGCCAGCGCTGTCCGAAGACGTTTCCGTGGTCGTGTGGCCGGCATGACTAAACACCAAGGCGCACGGAACACTGTTACCTTCCCACCGAAGGGGTACCTATTTATCTACTTACAATTTCTTGCTTTCGAACTGCTAGGCTGGCAGGAGCTGGAACTAGAGATGGGAGCTCACTCCATCATGCGGCACCTGGGTCTCGAACTGCTGAACTACTGACCTTCCACAACCTGTAGTTCAGCGTCTTAACCACCTGAGCCACCGCAGCTCCTGTACCTACTTACCTACTTGCAATTTCTTGCTTTCAAACTTTTAGGTTGGCAGGAGCTGGGGCCAGAGACGGGAGCTCACGCCATTATGCAGCACTCGGGTCTCGAACTGCCAGACTACAGACCTTCTGGTCTGCAGCTCCGCATCTTAGCCTCTGAATAAGCTGTACCTTGGTTTAAAAGAAGGAAC